CTCTCTGTATGTTTTCGTCCTTCTTGATAAGTTGTTTTCAACAATGATAACATGTTTGTCGTTTATTTTTTTAATCTTTTAAAAAATTATCATCAATATTTTTTCTGGATAAAGCCGTATAAAGGCATGATGTAGCGTAGCCTAATTGGCAAATATTATCAAACAGTTATATCATGTACATAGCTCCTTGTAATAATAATGCTATTCTCGAGTCAATAATATTTATTTAGTCAGGAATTAATTCGTCATTTACCTCAGAACGATAAAGGCGAATATTCTATTAAGAGAAATAGGTTATGCCAGTCAAAATCCACATTTGCAGTTAGTACAAAAATACATGGCATCGAAATAATATCTGGCTACACCCAAAAAGCAAACACAGAACAAAACAACAACAACATATTTTAACGTACTTGTGTGGCTTAGAAATTCACTTCGGTGAAAAATAATGTTTTCGGATCAAAAGTGGATTTGAAAGTAAGTAAACAGCTTACCGACGACGGGCAGAGAAGATAAAAGCTCTCATACCACTTAAATCGTATCGACGTTAACGTTACAGCTTTATAGGGCAACGGGAGTTATGTTAAAATGGGTTTTTGATGATGTGGGCGCTTCAGATGTAGTTAGGATAAACTATTTTGGGAACATCCAAGACATTCGATAACAATGATATATTATTTACAGTGCCGGAGTAGATTTGAAACAGGTTTGCATTATTCTTGCATTGTGTGTTTTTATGAGTACTTCTGAATAACCACCCCCTCTTTTTCTGTTATCCATAGTTATCTCTTGTAGTTGTATTCTTCTTCGTTTCGCTCAGGTATGGATGTCATGTCTCCCACTTGACTCAAACGTAATTTCTCTATACAATCTTGTTGCTGATCCCCAAATATCTTCTTCTTTTTTTGTTCTTGGAAGATGCATGCCATACTGAGAACATCCCATTGGGGACAACATTATGAAGTAAAGAAAAAGATTTTCATGACATTTCAGCGTACGACAAATTAATGGGACTGCTTTCCCCAAATTACGTTACAATGGAAAATTAAGCTCGGAGATTTAGACAGATTTTCGATTTCAGCGTGCTTTCTGAATTTTGTTCCTGTTCCTGAAATTTAATCAACATTTTAGCTATGGTCCTGTTTCAAAAGTTTAACTTGTACAATGGTTGGATCATGTAGACTAATCGACCTATATGCAAATTGGAATGTTTTGCGAACCGCCTTTCTTCATCGTTCTCTCTCTCTCTCTCCCTTTTTCTTCCTTTGCGGTTGCACGATTATTTTCAACGAAATTCAGTGCCTTATCGCTCACCCCTTTCGAAAAGAAAAAAAACGTCGCGACGGTTCGAGTCGTTATATAGGAACATTAAATATCACTCAGCCGAGTGGGATTACTGTACGTGACAACCGTGCGGAGGAAAATAAACCTGCATGAGCCAAGACGTCACAGGCAGGACGATTTTCACGCCAAATTCACAAGAAAACATGTACGCGCCTTTGAGCTGTCAGACGACGACAAAACGACGATACCGAACAGGAAATTAAAATTCTGCCCAACAACGATAGAATAAACACGTTGATTGACAAATGTTCTGTAAACATTTCGATTTTTTTTTTTATAAATTACTTTCCTTCTTCATAATTACTAGTTAACCTTGACAAGAGGAGAGTGGTTTCTCCACAGAGTGAAGATAAAAGGGAAATCTCCCCCCAAATTTCGATTGTTTCTTTCCTTCTTCAAACTTCCAAGAAGTAAGTACGTGCGAGGCTACCTGTTGTCAATTCCTTGAGACTCCATCTTGAAGAAACTAGTTTACACGCTTGTAGAACACGTTAGAATTTATATCATGTGGAAATAATAACGTGAACAAATCATATTGATACTGAAAACACGATTTGATATACTAGGTGAGGATAAAGACACTATACATGTATTACACAAATTTTGTGCTGGTTTTGCTAATCACATTTCCATCAATTAACAATGAAAATATTCGCCTTCTACGTCATTTTGACTATCACACGACCTCTTATTCTTTTTAATTTAGCTTCAACTTGGCTGGGAATTTAGTTACATTTTAGGGAGAGAGAGAAAGAGGAGACAGATAGGAATTAAGAAAATAAAAAGAGATACAATGGAAAGAGAAAGAGACAGAAGTAGAGAGGAAAAAAAGGAAGCACGAAATAAAGAGAACAAGAGACGGGCAGACAGAGTAACAAAGAGAGAGAGAGAGAGAGAGGGGGGGGGGAGAGAGAGAGAGAGAGAAAATGAAGAAAAAGATGGGAAATTCAAAAACCTCATCTGCTGTTCATCACGTTGATTGAATTAACCGGATCAAAGAGATCAGCGCAGAGGCCTTAAGAATATAATTGGAAATATAATGCAATAACAAAATTCCCTTCTTATCAATTTGAAAATTAAAAGTGTATCGGAGGGTTTTCCCGACCAAGTCATCGACGATGGAGCACAGTGGTCTTTCGTCAGAATGAATGGCGAAAAGGTTTATTTTTGAAGAAGATTAAAAGCAACTGAGGGAAGAATTGGATTAATACTAAACACTGTAAAACGTGGTACACTGTAGTAAATGTTATCAAGAGTATAAAGAGAACCATTCACTCAACTATTTAAACTTCGACGGCCAAATTCACAGGGATAAACATTACTATCATTCCATCGGAAAAGTGACAAAAAGTCAAGCGACTACCCAGTCCAAAATCATTCCAAACAATCACGTCTTTACCCCTTGTAAGAGGTTCGAAAGTGCCAATTCGATCGGTCAACAATTATGGATTTAACTGTTTCAAGATCTGTCTCATCTTTGCACGTCCAAACCTTCCTCGTATTCTCCATATTTTGAGAATGTTGTCTTTTAAGACGGATTTCTTAACCCTCCCAAGACAAAGGATAATGCACATGACGCATTAATATTAATACAGTGTTAAATATACTCTACAGGTTTGGACACATTCAATTTATACTTTCCGAAATATTAAATTGTAACCATTTTTCAGCCGTTTTTTGATTTTCCTCTCCTATTCATGGGTCTTTGACAGCACGTACTAAATTTCATGAACTATGAATTTACTCTTCTAAGGCTATATGTAGTTCGTGGTTCATGGGCGTCGAAATGTATCCTGAGATAGGTCAAGGAACATTCATGCGTCAATAGAAAGGGAAAAAAAAGTTACATTGCCCCAACTAAACTCATCACTTTCTATGTAGTTAGCTCACGTTTTTTTAAAGGTAAAGGCCAGTTATGGTCATGCTATTGCATTGTGAAAGAAACGTTGTGGAATCGATCAGAAAAGGTTGATCATCTAGCATCTAGCATCTGCAAGGTTCTGGAATCATCAAAATGATAAGAAATTTGGCACATTCTTCATAAAGTTACAAGCACTATACACAGAAAGATGTATATGGGACTTCCCTATATCTCTCACAGACCATGAGAAAAACAAATTTACCAAATATATGAATTAGTAGGCGGTTTCCCGGCAATTTTTTTATCATCATGTATTAGTCAAAACATATTCTTTCACATGATTGGTAATGAGAGCTTCCATTTCATTTTTTGAAATTGGGGCGTTTCCAATACTGGTCTTTACCTTTAATGTTAAAGAAAGTTGAGGAAATGTTGAAAGTGGCTCGGGTGCTCGGTGTTGTCTGGAAACATTACACGGATACACGACAATAACAGGTAACGAAACGTCGGCCGATTTCCGGGGCATTGACATTTCAAAGTGATATTCAACTCATTCGGGGTTTGACGCAAAATGGTTTGGCTACTATACGGATTGCAAAACAATTTTTTAAAACAAAAATGTAAAACATAGAGTGACAATTTTATACTAAAAATAGACATTTAAAGACTAGTGTGGTCATGACTGTTTTGATGCAATTCGAAAACATGGTAAAGGGAATTCGAAGAAAAAAAAGGTAAAAGGGGCATTTCTAAAACAATGACCCACAGTCATTCGATTGCAAATTTCCGACATAATCTTATGCATAAAGAACTTTGCAAAAATGGTTTCATTTGAAAATGATAGAGTACATTTAGCCTTGTCTGAGACTTCAATATTACATTTCAGTACTGTGTGTGTGTGTGTAATTAGGCTTGTACAGACGTGTATCATTCATGTATGATTATTTACGTCTGGGGACCGACCTTTAACGTCACCATCCGAAAGACGTACGTTTCATGCCAAAACATTTAAGCATGTGAAGTGCAAAAAGAAAAAAACAATATGACTTCCTAAAGGGTGCAGACGGTTCAAACGCAACTACGGACGTCATCATGAGGTATATTACATTACTCATTAAAAAAGCATAGTGAATTATAATCACTTCGGGACTGTATGAATGTACATTAATATGTCAAGTTCACGCACTGGCCGGGTGGAACAACTATGATAGAGCTGATAACGTCCTGTAGCGCATGTAACTCGATCGCAAAGACTTTCGATAAATGAACCTGAGGGCAAACGCAATGGCCTGCAGTGCATCATTCATTGAAATGGGATACGTTAAAACAGCATGATTTCCTTAAGCAATATAATGGGGCATTCAAATTGCCCTGGAGTTGTTTTCATGAAAGACTTTACGATCATCGTGTTACAATCTTAAGAATTTGATTTCTGACGTTTCTGGAATACGTTAATGTACGTTGCACATGAGGCGTTAATTGCCTGCGTTATAGGACGGCTTCAATGACTTTAAGTCATTGTGTTAGGCCGTCTCTGACGCACCAAGTCGTAAGTGAGAGTCGCATCGTACAAACAGTTATTGCAAAGTGAACGGTGCAAACATTGCGTTGTATTACTGGCGTATGCGCTAATTGGCTTCACCGACTCGATTAGCGCAGGTAATGACGTAGTGGGCAATGACGCCTCGTATGCAACGGGAATGAGACAATCTATAACACTAAATAAATCATTAAAAAAAAACCTTGGACTTCAGCGAATCTTTTAAAGAGTTTACGAACGGGCTCATGTGCTTACCTTGGTCCCTAGTTTAATATCCAGAGGAGGTTCGGTTATCTGTTGAAGCAGACTAAGGATGTACTCTTGAAATATACCAATCCTTGTATAGAATCTTTCCTGATGCCAGCATCCTTCCATATTATCAAAATCCACCCCGAGTTTCTTCAAGAATCCCACGGCCCTCGGCTCGATGCCGATCTGGTGCGGCCGATCCATGAGCTGCGATCTCGTCTTCTCCTCGAAGATGGTGATCTTCTTAGCTCGCTTGCTGCGGACGGCCACAAGGGCTGCGGTGAGGCCGACCGGGCCGCAACCGACGACGACCACGTTGAGTTTGCCTCGCCATCGTCGCAGACAATCGTAGGAGCTCTTGCAGGCTATGAAGCAGCCGACGACTAGGAGCGTGGCGAGAATTGTATCGCATGCATCGCCCAGGCCGCCGACACCACGACTCGGTGGTTGAATGACGGGCGATATCTCCACCGTCATATTCGTATTCAGTTGGTGCATCACAAAGTCAATATATCCAACTGTTATTGTGTTCCTGAATATTATGTTTATCCAACGCGGTTAGAGATATAAGCTTTTGAGCTGATGTCTCGTGAGAGATTAAATAATTAATCCTGTACCCGACGATATACAACGTTCCTCGATCTTAAATTCAGCTGGGCATTATACCCATCCAATTAATACTTCAGCGGAAGAAAATAAACAACTCCAAATAATATTATTACGAAACGAACTCTTCCCATACAGGTTTGATTTTTCTGTTATGATGAGAAAATAATATTCGCACTGCAAGCAGACGACAATACAATCCAAAACGCGTTTAACGATAACAGGAGGCGAGATCGGTTTAATGAGCTCATTAATTTCTAATTGATGTCATCTCCCGTCCTTTTAGGAGACCTGTTGACTTGATAACGCTCACTCACGGGCGAAGCTCGACGCTTAGAATAATTGTCTCCCACTTAAGCCATCAAAATATAAATCCTATATTCCAATAGAGAGGTGTACGTCCGTCCGTGGATGCACTCAGACGCTCTTGCAAGGCATGTTTACTGAGTCCCCACATGTCTTGCGAACGAATGAACTTCGACGCAGGCGACACTTCGGCACTGGATGAAAATGCGTTTGCCCGCCTTGGCTGTTTCCCGCTCGTTCGCGCGCTGCGAGTAAATTGACTCCTTCTCCTCAAGAATCCAAGGAGCTTTCTTCCTTGATGAAACATGCAATGTACAGACTATCGAGCAAGGTTGTCTGAAGTGTTCACTGTGATTAGGTAACGTCGGCGTCGTGTAATATCACACTCACATGGAAAAAAATTAGGGCCAAACTATTGTTCTTGACTTGTGATGTTGATGTTTATGTGACTGTCGGGAAAGCTTAACGATAGGCTTTTAAACAGCCTAGAAAATAACGGTTTTTAATTGATGTCTAGGGTGTAAAACGGAAATGCCTTTAACGCATTTGCACTTTTGTATGTGTATGCGGTTCATTTTAACATAACGTCTACGATGAAATATGTTCATAAACTATTTAACGTAATTTCTTTTTGTCCATTTCCCCTTAAAAACCTTTTTTTTCTTTCTATTCTTGGAAGTTTAATACATGTATACATTTTTCAAATATATCAGTATGCCCTCTTCTCTATCTATTGCTCTCTCTCTCTCTCTCTCTCTCCTCTCCCTCCCTCCCTCCCCCTCTCTCTCTCTCTCTCTCCCTTCCTCCCTCTCTCTCCCTTCCTCCCTCTCTCTCTCTCTCCCTCTCTATCTGTCCATCTATCTACCTCTCGCTGTCTTACTACTCTCCTTCCATTTCTTGTAGTTTCCATGTAATTATATCAGGTTTAACGTCTGACCAGACACATGCTGGTAACATATCCCATGTCTGACCATCAGATCATAGTGCTAAAACTAATTTTGACTCCAATGTCGTCCGACCTTTTGTCCGTCAAGATACTAAACATTTCATTTTAGCCTCCTCATTCGAAAGTATAGAGTCAGTGATCTATTCATTTACTTTACCCATAGAAGATAATGTTACCAGTACGTTGAATAACAAGGTATATGTTGTACTGTTAGTCGTAAACTGAGAGCAGGTACCCGTCTTAATGCACTTAGAGAGAAACGGGTCAGTTCACATCACTGCATCTTTCTGCCTGACAAACAGAGAGAGAGGGAGGGAGAGAGAAAGACAGAGAGAGAGAGAGAGGTTGGGGGGCAAGAAACCGAGTTCCTTTTTATTATTTTTTTAGACTATCTCGCGGATTAGGTCAAATCTATTTTCTATTCTTTTTTCTATTTCATCCCCTTTCTATTCATACACAGGCACTTTGATCGTGTCTGTAAACTGAATGAATTTCAATGAAATAATACGAATGGCAATATTCATCCTGTTTGTAGAGCATAATGACCGAGTTGTCAATTTAGTATTCTGTAAAGCGGTCTCTATCTCATGAAGATTATCTTCAGACGCTTCCTTACTTAATTTTTTTTATCCGTTTTCTGCCTAAATCGTAAGCAAGTTCTTCTTGGAATAGAGTCGCCCTTTTAAAGATAAACCCCAATATTTAGTATCTCGTCCAAAAAAAAAAAAAACATACAGTACCAAAGTGACATAGGTCAGAAACAGAGGAATCATGTTAGTGCACAATGATTCACATTCGTTGTATCCCTGTTTAATAATATACTGCATGTCATTGGTGATGTGAGCCTAAATTTAGCACAAAGAATTGGAAAAAACGACAATTTGTTAGCTATCAATTGTATTGATTATACGCTACTTTTCACAGCAGGAAAAGTATATTAAGTTGCAACTATCTGTCTATTTATAGCATTGTGTTTTGCATTGGGGCAATTCCACGGTAACGGAAGGACACTCAGACAAGATTTTTGAACTTCAGGTTCATACTAAAAGAACTGTTTTATTAGTATAAGATGTGAAACAGTACAGATATAATACCTATATAAGTGCCTTTAATTCTCCCCCAAAAAATTGTCATTATAGTTAAGTAGTTTAAGAATGTGCATATTAATTATCTCGGTAACGGAAGGACATAAAAATGGACATGGTTTTTTCCAGTTAATTAGTGTTTATCCAAACTTTGTGAAGTTGATGAAGCTTTCCACTTGACTGAAACACATTTTGTTCCCCATAGTTTAATACATACTAATAAAACATTTCTTTTAGTATGAACCTGAAGTTCAAAAATCTTGTCTGAGTGTCCTTCCGTTACCGTGGAATTGCCCATTGTTGTATATGATAGGATACGTGGGCGCCGTGAAACAATTGCTAAAGTGAGCAAGATGGCGTGCCACTGATTTATAGGAGAGTTTGGCCAACCCGGTTCGAGTTTGTAGTATCTCTTTGGTACAATTCAGCGATTATTGTTCTTGGGCAAGCACAAAACAACTCAATAAACGTCATTGTGACCAACTGAAACCAAAAAGTTGGCCAAACTCTGTGTGTAGATCGCTCAGGTGATGTCTACTTGTATGTAATGGCATGGAATATGCCTGGGCGTTTAAATGATTGGTACAAAATAAAATATAAAAAAAGTGGGGATGCTTAAGCCCTCCTCCTCCCCTCCTCCCCCCCCCCCCCCCCCTTCTTCCACGGCCCTCTAATTTCCATTACTCGTAACATTATTAACCAGTTTTAACAAATATTTTTTTTATGAATATTTGTATTTCTTTAACTCCAGATATCTGTTTGTTAAACATACAATTTATTGCTGAATTGTTTTGTTAATTGAGGGAGTTTTAGGAACAAAATCAATGTCATTTAGAGGGATTTTGCTACGACTAGATAGTTTAATAGTAGTAGTATTCAACATGTTCAGAATCATTCCAGTTTAGGCTCTTTAGAAGTAGTCCGTAAAGTTGCATTATTTAATGACCTTTTTTATGAGTACCTTTAAAGATGAAGTTGAGTTCTGGTCATGCGATTGCATTGTGAAAGAAACGGTGTGGAATCGACCAGAAAAGGTTGATCATCTAGCATATAAGAATTTGTGTGTATTGCAAGGTTCTGGAATCATCAAAATGATAAGAAATTTGGCCAAGTCTTGGTAAAGTTACAAACACTGTACACAGAAAGATGTATATGGGACGACACTTTTACGATGTTACATGCCATATTTAGAATATGAAGGTATTAGAAGAGCCATGCTTTTCAGGGAACATGTCTTATCTGATGTTCTTCCACACTTATAATAAGAATGATAACGCTCACAAATTATTTTTCACCTCTTCCCAGAACTCAACCTTCTCTTTAAATTCGATATTCCGTGAAGGGACGTTAGCCTGGAAAAGTTTGCTCCAACACGCATAATATGAGCACATCTGGAGTATGACTTGTTTTTGTTGTTTTTCAACGCAAAGTTGTAAGAAAGGTCAAATTATCAATCGAAGAATAATGTCATGTTTGGTCTTAATTTGGAAAACATTCATCAGACCAGCAGAATTTCTTTTCTCCAGACAGTGTGACATGAAGGCTTGCAGCAATGATGGATAAACGTCAGGCAATCTTCTTCTTTTTACCTCAGAAAAAAAGTGAACTCCATTAAAAAATCTGTGAAAGAGAGACAAAGTGTAAGTGTTCAATGAGAAAACATATGGAAAGTATGGCATTAAAATTTGTTTGTATGAATTCATTAGAATATAGTTCTCTTCTAGGTAATAATAATTCTAAACTCATCAACAACATCATGTCTGGCAGAGGAAAGAGTGGAAAGGCCCGCACCAAGGCAAAGACGCGCTCTTAATAATAAATTATTTATTTCACTATTTTCAACACAAGACTGAAAATTGCGTTACCATGGAGAATTCTTTGTGACGACAAATATGATTTAGAAAAAAAAAGTCTTATGAATACAACGTTGAGTTATTCAAGTATCATGAATACACGTTGGAGAATAAAGGTTTTAATTAAATTAATATTTTCTTGTGTGTGTTTTTAATCATCCCGTTTTGATTTGGTCAAGCCTGATCATCATGAAATGAACAGTATAACAGTTATCTGACGAAGTGGGAAATTAAATTTGTCTGACAATAAATTTCCTCTACACGAAACAAAACAGACAGTGACAAAATTCAAAACATAGAAAGATGATAATTGCTGTGTAATCTCTAACATGTTGTAAGTATTTGCAAAGATTCTCGTCATCTCCTTAACTAATGTATTGACTGTAAACACAAGATGCACGCTTTCAGACATCCAAATTATAGACTTAACCTTTCCCCCCTCTAATCTCAAGAAATAAACAGGAGCGTATATTATGCTTCATTAGGAGATGCAGAGGTAAGTAATTAAGTGACCGATATTTGAAAGGCAAACTCTTTGTTTAGAGACCCATATTTAAGATTCAGAGGTCGAAGAGACGTTATGTTCATTATCGATAATGGAAGGTCATTGATCCTCTTTTCTTTTCCCCCTCTCACCCCCTTCTCTCTCAGTCTCTCTCTCTCTCTCTCTCTCTCTCTCTCTCTCTCTCTCTCTCTCTCTCTCTCTCTCTCTCTCTCTCTCTCTCTCTCTCTCTCTCTCTCTCTCTCTCTCTCTCTCTCTCTCTCTCTCTCTCTCTCTCTCTCTCTCTCTCTCTCTCTCTCTCTCTCTCTCTCTCTCTCTCTCTCTCTCTCTCTCTCTCTCTCTCTCTCTCTCTCTCTCTCTCTCTCCCTCTCTCCCTCCCTCCCTCCCTCTCCCTCTCTCTCTCTCTCTCTCTCTCTCTCTTTCCCTCTCTCTCCCTCTCCCTCTCTCTCTCTCTCTGTTTGTCAGACAGAAAGTTGCAGTGATGTGAACTGACCCGTTTCTCTCTTAAGTGCATCAAGACGGGTACCTGTTCTCAGTTTACGACTTAACGGTACAACATATACCTTGTTATTCAAAGTACTGGTAACATTATCTTGTATATTCTCATCCTTCATTACTCAGTTAATGACTCACAGATTACATCAATAACAATCTTTATGGAAAAGCCTGCCAGACCGACCTAGATGTAAAAAAGCACGGGTGCATTTCCTTGTAGCACACTGAACAATTTAACAAAAAAAATATTTAACAATCTATTCCAATTTAATCCGTCTCAAGATTTAAATGATCATCTTTCTTGAATATCCTTTATGTCGAATATCCCTTTCTGATTATTTAACAAAACATAATCACTTAACCGTTATTTGCAGAAAAAATGTATTACATGAATTCATATAACGATTACTCTTTCCTTTCTTTCATTACTCTTCTTTAATAAAAAAAAAAACATATTGTCGGACATTATATCTGTTTTTCCAAGACAATTCATACTCCACATCCAAAATAAACACGTTTCCTATGATGGAAAACATTCATAATATGCCTAAAGCATTAAGGATTTTGTCACCTCAAGTTTATTATCTAATGTATCTACAACATATCCATCCTTCGCTTTATCTGTCTTCCAACGACCATGTATTTTCCACAATCTGTCTTTAGTTGATGTATTAGCAACCATAGTGGCTCCACCTGCCCTCAGTGAATGCAATCCGAGATTTGCATCCCCACATACTTCTTTCAACAAAGAAATTACCCTCTCTCTAGCTGTCGTGTAACTTAAAGGTTTGTCTTTCCTTATAAGCGCACTAACTCCTTTAGACCTGTATGCCGGTTTAAAGAAAAAATGATTGGAATCTAAAGAAATCCGAGCCACATTGATATACTTCTTTACCATTTTGACCGGACAAGCTTCTGTCACACCGGCACTAATGACTACACTATTACCTTGTCTATACTGATCTGTCTTACTCTTAGCAATATTAAGAGAAATATAATCATCATAAATTGACACATCATTACACTTCAAAGATCTTGCTTCATCATATCTAAGAAACCCCGTGAAACACAAAATTAATAATGTTAAGTCTCTGAGCAAAATTGCGTCCTCTGTATGAACATGCTTCTTACATAGCTCTTTAACTTGATCTGAAGTAACTGGATCTTTCTTGTTTACTTTTTTCTTGCATTGCCGTTTGGCAGATTCCAACAAATTCTTTACAAAACAATTGTCTGTGGGATCCCTGAACCCTCTAAGACTATGAGCCCACTTAATGGCGTATACAGCACCTTCTATGACACTCGATGAATGTCCTTTGTCAATAAGATGAGTCACATATAGGGCGACGTGAATAGATTCAGCTGGAAGAGAATTCCCTCCTTCTGCACTGATGAATAGATCCCATCGGTTAAATGCTGCGAAATACTTCTTGTTTGTGTTTTCGCTTCTCGATTTAATGATATACGATGACATCTGTTCTGCCAGCTGGATGAACTTTGATGACGTAACTTGAGCTCGCTTCATCTCTTCCTTAACGGCGGTCCTTACACCTAGTGCTGTATGTAAAAAATTAAAAACAAATCAAAATGCAATTTCCATTGCAACCATACCAAACCTGTATCTCTGATTACCAAAAATACCGTTATTTCCTCTTCCTTTCTTCGTTATGCCAGAATCAAAAAACTCAACTTCCCTAATAAAGTGCACAAACTCCCCATTATGGCTTATTTTGGGCCAAAAAGGCGCAGATTTCCAAACTGGTACAATGAGAGTACCTTGCGCTTTTTCCTTCATTATTTTTACTATAGTCTGTCCGACTAGTCTTGGTGGCGGCACCCACCAATTTCTGCCTTCCTTCCAACTTTGACTGAAAGCATCAATACCGTTCGTTTGGCTACACCACCATCTGGAGTTGAATTTTGTACATTTAGCATTGTACTCGTTAGCAAATCTATCGATATCATATGGACCCCATTTCGAATCCAAGTATCCGAATATCTCATCTGTGATAAACCAATCATCACTATCTCCTCTCCTACTTAAATTATCAGCTTTGCAATTTGTTTCTCTCCTTATCCATACTGGATATACAGTAATATTGCTAGATTCACATTTATTATGAATACTGATAGCCTGTTCTTGCAATTCACTCTTCTTACTGCCCTTCTTTAGTATAGACACAACATTCTTATTGTCCGTGTTCAACTGAACATTCTGCCCCTTCAGTTCTCTTTCAAATGAAAACAAAGTTCGTTTCATGGCTTCTAATTCTCTCCAAGTGGAGCTCTTAACGGCTTCTACGTTTGACCAACTGCCCACAAGCTCTAAATCTTCTTTCTCGGCTACAAATCCGCCGAAACCTGTTTCAGAAGCATCTGTAAACATGGTATATGCGACAAACGGCAACCTCTTTATCTCTATCCCGTTTATTCTTTCAACATGGTGCGACCAGAATTTCAATTCGTCTTTTGCTTCTCTTCCGACCTTTATCGGTGCCTGCCAACTGGCCTTCGTGTTCAGACTGTTACAAATATTCCTTGTTCTTATTTGAACTATTTGACCCATTGCGGTGTGCATTGAGCTAATTTGACCTGCTACTCTAGCCAATTCCTTCACATGCACTATGTCGTCATTACTTTGCATCCTGTCTAATAGATTCTCTATGTTCTTCTTCAACTTCCCCACTCTTCTCTGAGAGATATACACTTTGTTTTCTGAGGTTACCCAATCTAATCCCAACCACGTCTGTCTCGTTGTGGGATTCCAATTGCATTTTTCCTCCGCTATTAGAAAACCCAACTGTTTTAACTCTTCCCTGATCTGTCTGCTTAGTGTAATAGCAGACATCCTATCTTTGCAAATTACCAAGCCATCATCCAAATACATAATCACATTATTTCCCTGCGATCTCCAATGAGCAATTACAGGTCTTGTCAATTTTGTGAAAATATATCCTGCTGTGGAAATACCAAATGGTAGAACATTGAATATGAAATATCTCTTTTGATCTTCGTAATCCCAAGAGAAACCTAGATAGGTTCTGTGTTCTCTGAATATCTCAACATGATGGTAAGCAGATTTCAAGTCAAAAGTGAACATATAATCATCTTCTTCTATCATTTCCTTTGCTATATCCTCACCTTCATATCTTACCTTTTGCTTAAAAAGATGTGGATTTATGTTTCTACAATCCAGAACTAATCTCGGTTTTTCTTTGTTTCCTGCAACTGTCAGTGGATTTATTACTTCAGGTTTTTGGAAAACTTCAGTAACACATCCTTTCCTTGTTAGATTCTGTATTTCCTTTCCTACAAATTCTGCGTTTTGAATAGCAGACCTATTATTCTTACTTTCGGTTTTCTTGGGGCGAGTTATGAATGGTATTTTATACCCTTCAGAAATGATATCCAATATGAATTCGTTAGTTCCGATTTCTTTCCATTTATCTTTTGCCGATTTAAGCCTTCCAACCGGAGTAACAACTTTGCAATTCTTTTCAGAATTTAGCCTTGACTCTGTGGAGTCATTCTTGTCTGCAAATGCATTCCTCTTATGAACCTTCATATCATTCAACTGAATATCAAATGAATTTTTACTTATCTTTTCATTTCTTGCTTCTCTGCTTGATGCCAGCTCCCTGCATTCGAACCTCCAATGCCCGAATTTACCACAGGCGAAGCATGCTCCCGTTTTCCTCTTGAAATCCCATCCCTCTGTCTTGGAGCTAGGATTTGACCATGGCCTTGAAGACTGCTGAGATGCTGGTTGACGATCTGTTGGATAGGGACGTATCTGATTGCGTGAAGCTATCTTCCTTCGAGGCGCTTGATTCATCTTGCGTTTCGCTCTGGCCTCCGCCTTCCAGATTCTTTTCTCGTCGTCCGAATCCCGAGCTAGGCTATTGGTTTCATATTCAGAAACTGTAAGCCATCCGAAAGGTGATTGATCAGCAAGCTTGATGATTTTCTGCCTATGCTCTAAAATGTCTTTACCTTCGGCGATTTTGTTCTGTGCTGCCGTAGAAGCTCTGCTCAAATCTGCGTCTTTCTTCAGCAAAGATTCTGCTTCAGACAACTTCTGATAAACCTTGGTATTGCTCTTGTACTGCTCCTCGTTTCCCTTCTTTTTAAACTTGTACGTCGTGTTGGTTATTTCCTCCATCTTTGATAGCTGTACTTCGCTCATAGCCATTTGTGAATCGTTTATGTCCTTCTGGAAATGATTAAGCTTATCTGAAACAAGCGTTTCTAATTTATCCAGTAATGTATTCTGTGAATCCCTCACTTCGCCGCGGACAAGCTCGGCAATGTCCATCGGCTCCATCGTATAGTAGCTGTCGCTCCTGGCTCGGTCCCCGTAGTCGTGTCGTGTATCTAGTGTCTGACAAAGCTAGAATGGCTACCACGCCCATTTCCCTCTCTTATTATGCCTTTCTGAACATTCCTTTCCTTCTCAAAACAATAACTTACACCTGCCTAAGTTATTCAAACCATCCCGCTTCGCGGAATCGTGGCGTCTCGCCACTCCCATTACGTAATCATTAAACGGATCCGCATATACAACATTTTCCTGCTATACGTTGTACCGCAGGAAAATACAACTATCCGTAGTCCTAAGTGGCTATAGTAAATGAACAGATCACTCTATATTTTCGAATGAAGAGGCTAAAATAAAGTGTTTAGTATCTTGACGGACGAATCAATACACAAGATATCAAATTCTGTTCATACCGCAAGCATATTGACCAATCCCATGTCAGGTAATATCCTTCAACTTTGATGTTTCTCATTTGAATGCGTATTATTAATGACAGCCCCCCCCCCCCCCCACCCACCCCGCAACAAAATCAGTGCCAACCCTCTCTGATTGGAAATCGTACTAAAGACTTGAAGGAAAATAATAACCAAAAATAAAATTCATATCTTTTCAATCTGTCAATGATAGAATAAATAGGACTTATATGAAGCGAAGTTGAAGTTCAACTTTAACTGATTATTAAGTGGTTAATTATTGAGACAACCATGACTTTTAGCCAATACGTACCAATGTCACGGCCAGTAAAAAGGCCAGGTTAAATCACTGGATATTGTTCAGTAATAAGTGATCAACAAGATATCTTGGTCACACTCGCACCAGCAATTAGCACCATTTTGTAATGATCAATTTTCATGTCTGAAATATACGTAATCCTCAATCATACTCGAAAGATTAACAGCAGCATAAGAATCTTTGAAAGGCATGACAATGGCAAAACGTCTTCTTTTGTTTATTTCTCCAATAACGCTCTACTTTAAAACTATAAACGATAATATTTAAAGGATTTCCATCGGTGAACCATGGACCTATTTACATAGGTGAACAGTACAGTATTTTTGGTTGATACAGTACATACAAATTAAGATTTATCTAAACTTGGCCTTGCTCTTCTCGTCCCGATTTATCAGCATTTGTCCAAGCTCAATATGTTCCGCTACGTCATGCTCTGAAAACGATGACAGACCGACGAGTGACCATGACTTGAGGCTTTTTGCTTCTTCTTCTTCTTCTTCTTTCTTCTTCTTAAAAAAGAAATTAGTAATCAGTTCAAGATCACGGTCGTGAGGTCAGAGACGTTAGCGGGTAACAAGGATATGTTGATTTGTGAAGAATGTATGCAATGTTATCCCCACCTACTCTACTAATGAGAAATATCCTTTCGTCGTATGATTCAGATATGATATTTTTAGATGGTGACGTATTCTCCCGGTTTATTTTCACTTCTCTTTTTGTCTCGTCTGTGACCCCCTCGATTCCTTGATTTCATTTCATCTGATTGCTTAAGTATTCTAAATGTTTTGATTATGTTTTGAGGATATGCTCTGGTCAGAATTTTCAAATAGATCAAAAAATAAATTAAAGACAGCATTAAAAGTATTTTTCTTTGCATAAAAAACATTTTAAGTTATTCTTAATTAATTTTCAAGGAATTATAAGATAATCATATCCAACAATCTAAATCAAGAAGACAAATAAAGATGTTGCTGTATATTTCCATGTCAAGTGAAATTGGAGGAATCCGTTAAAAAGCATGGCTTTTATGGTGTGGATCCCTCAACAAATACTGTCATGACAAAGAAACACAAGAATTAAAAACAATTTTAAAAAGGGGGTTGTGTCTACGGAGACTACTGAAGAGAACAGGTATCAACATAATAGACCCCACACACACACACACACACACGCACACACACACACACACACACCACACACACACACACCCACACCCCCCTCTCTCTCTCTCTCTCTCTCTCTCTTTCTCTCTCTCCCTGTGTCTCTCTGTCTCCCTTTCTCAGTCTCTCTGTCAATCTCTGTCTCTATCTATCTCTCTGTCTCTCTATGTCTCTCTCTCTCTCCCTCTCTCTTTGTCTCTCTGTCAATCTCTGTCTCTATCTATCTCTCTCTCTCTATGTCTATATGTCTCTCTGTCTCCCTCTCAGTCTCTATGTCAATCTCTGTCTCTATCTATCTCTCTGTCTCTCTATGTCTCTCTGTCTCCCTCTCTCTTTGTCTCTCTGCCAATCTCTGTCTCTATCTATCTCTCTCTCTCTCTATGTCTCTCTGTCTCCCTCTCTCTTTGTCTCTCTGTCAATCTCTGTCTCTATCTATCTCTCTCTCTCTCTCTATGTCTCTCTGTCTCCCTCTCTCTTTGTCTCTATGTCAATCTCTGTCTCTATCTATCTCTCTCTCTCTCTCTCTCTCTCTCTATGTCTCTCTGTCTCCCTCTCTCTTTGTCTCTCTGTCAATCTCTCTCCCCCCTCTCTCTCTCTCTCTCTGTCAATCTCTGTATCCGTCTCTCTCTCTCTCTCTCTCTCTCTCTCTCTCCCTCTCTCTCTCTCATTCTTCCTGCATCTCTCACTTTTTGAAGGGTTAAAGAAAACTGGCACAACAGATGGTTAAGTTTTCTTCATGCATATGAATTCATATTAGATTGGTACGATTGACTGATTTACTCATATTTTAGAAGTATGATTTGAACTTATTTCTATGTAACAGATGGCAAACATGAGATGTAGAGGGGGAATCGTGATGATTAATGCCCTCCGATGTGACATTCACCATCATGACAAAAATGTAATGATTTATTTCATAATCATGCGATTTATTCAAAATGAAATACGTGTTATTTCTGGAGCTCAGTGCAGGTTGATTAACCAATGTTGATGTCTCATATTTCGTTGGTTCCATGTTTCAAAATGATTCATTGGTATGTTAAAAACCATTGGCTCTGACCCTGGTTCCGAATTCCGCAAGCGGTGGTGGCCCTTGTTGAACCTTCGCAATCTTGTATTTCTTCTTCTCGAAAAAATAACTGTCATTTAAGTCATGCACCGTTGTCGAAGAAAAAATGTATTTCCGCGAGAGATGCCAAACTTTCATCTAAATTCATGTTTCCCCTGCACTTTAATTAATATGGAAAGCGTAGGAGCATAATATATGGGGATACCAATCTGTTGACAGCCCAAAAATTGTATGTCAGAAGTGCACTTGTGCAGTTTCACCTATATAGGCATAACCAATGCAGGGATTTGCTATCTCTAGTATAGTGCTGCACATTAATACAATGTAATAAAACATAATTTTTAAACTTTAAGGCTGAATTTAAAGGTACATGTACTGTCTACAGTCGGATTTCGTCAAGTATTCGAAAAGGCTTACATTTACAGACAGGCAGCAGGATTTATGCAAATCAATTTGAGTATCATTTTATTTACTTTATTTGTTTATCGTCAAGGTGAAGCTCACCTTAGCCTGTATACAAACCTCTATTTCCCTTCGTGAAATCAGAAATTAGCGAAAGCTTTTTACCAAGATTCTATGAACATGGGAAAGGTTCTTTCATGAGAATGATTTATGGCAACGTTTCCAAAATCTATATACATGTAGCCTCACTAAAAGCTTCTTATTGTGTTAACTCTCAAAATATGAATAAAGATGACGAAAACGTTTTTCTAATCTCACATTTTGTAGCCAATTATTCTGTCCGTTACCTGTCTAATTATTTTATCATGTTTGCCTTATTCACCAGGGAAATGTTTCGTCAAGTGTTGCGCCGCGGTAATGCAGGTTTAATAATACAGATGACATTTTCACCACATGGAGAAAATAAAAATGTTTGTTGAAAATCATCTGCTTGATTGCTCCAAGGAGTTTCAAAATGGCAGCAGTCTTTTCTCATTTGAACATAATTTGTGTCAGGTATTCTCTGCACGATCATGATGAACCCCCATGAGAGTGTGGTAATGACATGGGAGCATGGTGGATTGAATGAAGAAAACAAAAATATTATAGAAAAACCGCGATATTCACGAATTGCTGTTGAGTTATTTTGAGAGAGAGTGTGTCTAAAGGTAGAAACTAAAATGATTATGTAGTGATAAAATGTTATATTGGAATTTCCAGATCTAATGCATTGCTGTCAAAATTATACTCTAAACGGATGATATGAACTACTCATTTCTTTTCGTCCCTATTTTTGAAATAATTATTTTAAAGCTGTTTCATCTCCTTGTTTTAACAATGTTGTATACAAGGATGTTTATAAGTAAACTTTAATCATCTCCCCTTTACCCCTATAGATCTAGGAGCAGGGTTGATGAAGGTGGACCCCTCCAAGAAATGTAACACGATGCCATTGGCAATGAATACAGTGATCATCTGTTATCAAATACAGAATTCAAATGCTATTGCAGCTCCCTGGCTCTCCTTCCTCTTCATATCAACCACATCACCAATGTTCTATGTTTTCCCTCTTTTGCATCAGGAACACATTCCATCCCATCTTCTACTGTATTCATTGACTGCATCAGGCGATCTTTAATTGGAAAAGTGGAACAAAACCAAATGTCAATGGATTCGTTTTGCCTCCCACAATTGACGAAAGTCGAGCTGGAAAATTGCAAACAATCGAATTGATGTGAATTACAGATTTGAAGCCCTCGCTGAATTCCCCACACGAATGTTGTTTTGTTTCAAAAACGGGTGATGGCGTATATAGACTGGGGTTAGCCAGGGGAGCCCCCCCCCCCCCCCCGCCCCCTCCGCCTTTCTCTCCAGTTTGAAGGCCTGGGGAAAAATGAATTCACAATGTTGGTCAATGGCTACACTCGACAGGCGACGTATCCCCCTGTCTGGGATGGATTTCACCCCCCCCCCCCCTCCCCTCCCCCTTGTTATGTCTGCATACGCCACTTTTTGATTGTGGATGTGCTCTCTATACAATCTGGCTTGGGGGAAGAATACAATCCGAGTGTCATTAGCATGCAAATTGTTGGGTTAAATGAGTTAAATAATCGCACACGCTTCATTGAAGAAAATAAAGAACCTGATGAATTGAACTGCAATCAATATATGAAGCCATTCACGACTTCCACCAGTCACAAATTTCAATTGATTTTATTATTTTCTTTTAAACAAAACAAAAGCCAGAAGCGTGCTTTCTTCTTCTTCTTCTTTTTTTCTTGCCCAAATATCAACTTTCAAGATCGCAAATTTTGCGAGAAATATACTACATGTATTTGGGTATAATGACAACTAGCTATATTCGTTGGAAGCCTG